TTACCTGGGTTCTTAAAGCTCTGTATAGAGGCAAGTCTCTATAATTAATTACATCTTAAATGACCGAGGCCGCTTAAGAAAACTCTTGATTTAGATCGATAAATATTATCTTTGATAATTTCAAAAGATAGGACATTTCAAAGATCAAAACAAGAAGTGTCAACTGGGAGAAGCTCAAATTTGGGACATTGTTATGGAATCCAAAGGGAGAAGACTAGGGGTTGTCATGGATTCTGAGGAGAACCGTAATGAATTCCCAAACTATCCTATGTTTTGGCTTTAATTTTGAGAAGTAAAATATTGAATGTCTTATCCTTCCAATTATGATTATTGAGGGCTTGCATTTGCATGACACAATCATACAAATAGCCTAGAAGATGAAAAGATTTACGTGATGACGAACGACAACCTTGAAATCCTAAAGCAAGTTAGGGCTTAAATTGTACAACATGATTGTGCAAAGGCCTAAAGATGAAGTGAGGATTTATATTGCATTAGCCAAACAACCTCAAAATTTTATAGCTTGTTGTTTATTTCGAAAGGAGATTACTGTTGTAGATCCACCTACTCTGCTGCCCATGGTGCTAGCTCCAAGCTCCTCAGTGAAGTAGTTGTCCTAAAGTCTAAAGGTTTAATTGACAAATTTAGCTCAATCATTATGGGGTGGTTAAAATTGATTAGAGCGACACCGGTTACGATCCCACATTTCCCTCATTCTGGTGCCACTATTTTCTTTTGAATTTACTTAGCTTAATCGAGGTTTTAAGCTCATTTAAATAGGGGAGATCTCGTTAGCAACTGTGGGTTAGTTTTAAGCTCACTTAAATAGGGGAGATCTCGTTAGCAACTGTGGGTTACCTTATCTGAGGGACTCCCGTAAATTCAAAAGGATGTGCTATAAAGTTGTATTTTAATGGATTTATGGCTACCTTTGAAAGGGTTTAATTTAATTTTGAAAATTCTTTTAATTTTAAAATATTTTCAATTTATCAACCAAGCATGCATGGTATGTAGAAGCAGTAGTAAATTGCAGTAAATGAAATGGTAGACAGTAAATAAAACTGTAAAGGTGTACCTGTCATCTTCTCACTGCTCTCGCTGAAATGTTAGAACTTGCAACATATATAATTTTGCAGGAAATTAGGGACCAAGAGGACCAGTTGAAGGTGTATCTACTCAACCCTATGTCAAAACTTGGTGGATCATTAAAAGTTTTAATGGATGATTTTCTTGAGCAAAGATTAATAAGTCCCATTGCCCTTCAAAATATCCAAAAAGTCATAAAAGTGTTTGGGGGCGTTTCCTTAACAACGTTTAAATCCCTTTAAAACATTTCGAGTTCACTTGACCTTATTATATTGTTCAATTGATCATCCAATCTTAGATTTAGTTCAAATGGATTAAATGAATTAATACACCCTATGCTCAGTAAACCTGATGTTTTAGTTATTCCAAGAGTGAGGTAATCAGATAGTCCCTTAATGTTTTATTTAAAAGTTATGTGAATGGGTGACCTTAGGGCAAACTTAATTAATTAGGGATCTTATACCACCATTGAAGTTGGGCTTATAGTATTTTCAAAATGCTCATAATCTATCATCAGAGAGTTTGGGTGGTATTCCTATAGAACATGAAGATTAACACACTGTATTTGGAGTGGAACCTTCTGCAACACTGTTGGGTAGGCTGGCAGCAGGTGAAGATTGGCCCATTTTCTTTCATCATTGCATAGTTTATATGGATGGGTAGAAACCAAGTGAAGTATGAGGATAATACCTTCATTGTACAACAGGTGGCACTCAATTGAAAATCATTTACCAGTAAACTCATTCAATATAAGAAGCTATCCAAAATATTTAATATAAGAAAAGTTATGGGTTCACCAATAATCATTGGGGTTAAGGTTTTCTGGAAAAAACCCGCAACCAAACTGCTAAAGTTAATACTGATGGTAGCTTATCTTCTAAGGGGGCTGGTATTGGTGGTGTTTTTAGAGATCACAATGGGAAATGCTTAATATATTTTCAATCTCCAATTTTTTTTGAGAATGCGCTTGGAAATGAAATTATTGTTTACTTTTTTTCTATCAAATTGGCTATCCTGAACTATTGGTCGTCATTACAAGTTGAATTGGATTCTTCTTTGCTCATGGATGTTATCACTGCACAAAGTAACTCCCCTTAGCATATCCTTCAATGGATCAAATAGATTTAAACCATGTTGAATGAGATAGATGCCACTTTTACTTTCATCAATAGGGAAGGTAATCTATCAACCAATTTGCTGGCTAAGTGTGGTGGGGAGTCCCAGATTGGATTAATCTCCTCTTGTCCTAAGCGTTCTCTTAGCTTTTTGATGCAGGGGAACCCTATTAATTCCCCCTCATCTTAGATTTGTAAGTTCCTCTTGGGTTCAATAGAAAATCTAATCCTTTTTCGATATATATATATATTAAGCAAATTCCATATTCATTTTATCAAAACAAGATTACATGGTTTTCATCTAACATATGGGATGTCAAGCAAATCCCCAAGTAATAGGACTTTTAAATTATGAAATGGAAAAGTAGTAATGATTGTGTTTCCAGTAGAATTATCTGTTTGGAAAGCCAATTTGCTGGTTAGTTACTTTACCTTAGTATAACCCTTAATATAAAGCTCCACAGCATTTGGATTTTTGAAGACATACCTTAGTATAAAGCTCCACAGCATTTGGATTTTTGAAGACATAGGTTTAATCTTTCTCAAATAATGTGATAGATTCCAGGAATCTCTATTAAATTTTTGGTCATTTTTATCACTAAGAGAGAGTCCAACTCCATATGTATTTGTTGTCACTTCATATGTGATGTAATTTTTATTGCCTAATATGTTGCCATGGTTTTTTTCTTTAAGTGCACCTCCTGCATATACTTGAGATTAAAATAAAAGTAAGCGTCTACTTATATTGTTTCTGAACCTCTGCCCATTCCAGCAGAATATTTTGTATAGCTCCCGTCTGTGTTTATTTTAATACGTGGTGGTTTGGGCCTCCTCCAAAAAAACTTGTTGTATGAGGTGTTATGAACTCTATCTTGTAGTTACAAGTTTTTTGCAGATCATAGGTTTATATATTAGATTGAAATTCTTGAGTTTGACAAGTTTTAGGATATAGGACATGCAGTGTGATACAACTTCCAACTCATTGTTAAATTTATCTTCATCTTTGTAGTGGTTTCTTGTCTTCCAAATAAGCCAAACATTAATGAGAGGTATGATCTCTAAATTATGTTTCTTTCACTCTAGACATGTGAGTCTAGGCCAAAAAAATATATGTGCATATATGATAAAGTCTTTCTCTATACCAAATCATCAAATTGATAATAAAGTAGCAAGTGGTTCAGATTTTTTTCCTCCCTTCTACATATTATACACCATGATGGACCCCTCAGGCCGTTAAGCTTCAAAATATCATCTGTAGGTAGTAGTTTCTTAAATAGTCTCCAATAAAAAAAAGACATAGAAGGAGTTAAACTGTTATGCCAGATGGCTTCCCCCTAATCCACCTGTTAAGAGCTGAAATTTTTTTGGTATATGTAGTTGGATATAGATTGAATGTTAGAATTCTTAGTAATTACTTTGCCTTTTTTGCTGTTGTCAATTGAATGTCTGTTATTTGTTTGATCCTCTCCAGATCCAATAATGTTCTATGTTTATTTTAATCCCATTTGTCATTCCTACAACACTCGGATATTTTCATATTCCTAGGAGGGCCAGTGTGACTGTGAAATATTCCATCCAACAGTCAATTATCAAGCCAGAAATCAAAATTTCCCTCTCCAACAAACCAAATAAAATGTTCTTCTGCTTGTTTTATTCAGTAGGCTTACCCAAGTATTTGAGTCTCTTACTTTTTTTTGCGCCCTTAAGGGATGACTTTCTTTACAATACTGTCTATGCATATAGTGAGACCATAAAGATTCTCTTAATCTAAAGTTGATGCACAATTTGGAGAAGTATTTAAGACTGATTTGCTGAAAATTTTGAAACCTACACCGCCAATCCATAGTGGTTTACATAGTTTATTCTAAATAGACCAATGCAATTTCTTCTTCTGTCCTTCCTTAAAGATTTTGCTGAAGATTTTCTTCGAGAGTTTGTGTGTACTTTTCTTCATCTTCAGCATTTGCAGAGTATAAAGGGGAAATGAAGATAGAATGCTTTTCAGAAGAGTTATTTTGCCTCCATTGGAAAGAAATGAACTTGTCCAACAATTAATTTGTGATTTTATCTTTTCAACCACCTCTTCAAGATGATTTTATTTTCTTCTTTCCTTAAATGAGTTGTATGCAAAGATATTTTAGAGCAAGGTATGCTTATCTGAAACAAGTGAAATCTCTTTTAATAATTTTAAGAGGGTCTTTTTCTTGCTACAATTATAATTTGACACCTTTTTTTTGTTGGGCCTTCTAAAACTCTATGAGGATTCTTTCTTTCTTCTTCATAGCTGGCTTGCTTTGGTGAAAATTATTACATCATTTGTTACGCTGGTTCGAATTTTTTCATTAGTCTTCATTTTGATCCGATTTGCATGTCAGTTCTCCTGTAACTTGCAAAATGCAATGCTAACCTTCCAAAAGCGTAAAATAATATATTTAAAGTGAAAATTTGTTGAAATTAAAGCATAGAAAGCGCAAAATTTTAACGCATGCCATCTATTCCAAGAGAACTTATATTATTGTGTGCTCTACCCTCAACAATAACCTTTACACTATTTCTGTATTCCTTTCATCCATCCTACACTCTATCCCTTCGGCGTGACACAAATGACATTTTGGGATTCAACATATTTATAATACTAAATGTTGTATTTATAAAAATGAAGAAAAAAAAAAGTTTCTCCCGAAATATCTGGCTTCAAACTATAGAAACATTATTTTGAATCAATTCCATACTAAACTAATTTCTTACTATAGATTTAAATCATTCAAAAGAAATTTAATGGGTCTACCTTTCCCGCAGGTTCAACGCTGCGCCGAGGACCAAACCATCCTCATCACCAGCTATGAAGGAAAGCACAACCACCCACTGCCGCCCGCCGCCATGTCGATGGCCTCTACCACCTCCGCCGCCGCATCAATGCTTCTCTCCGGCTCCATTTCCAGCGCCGACAGCCTCATGAAACCGAACTTCTTAGCTCAAACCATGCTCTCCTGTCCCTCTGGTTTAGCCACCATCTCTGCATCAGCGCCATTCCCCACCGTTACCCTCGATCTCACCCAACCACCTGATGTGCTTCAGTTTTCGAAGCCTCCGCTACAGCAACAAATCTACATTCCCCAAGTTTCCGGGCAATCACTTCAGGTTGGTGGTCAAACTGAAATAATCCTAAATTTTTTTTACAAAAAACTGGTTCTTCCATATTATGATCATAAGGTGACTAGTATGGCTCCTAAAATAGTTGAATTCAGATTACATAAAAGTAATTGTATTAATAATTATTTAAAATTTATATTGTACAGGGGTTTTAATGTCTTTCTAGCTCTTTTTTTTTCTTTTATTACAACTATGTGTTTGTTTTAAATAAAAAGATAAATTTGTTTGAAAAGCTGATGCGTTTTGTATGAAAAAAAAACTAGATTAAATGGTAAAAAAAATAAAAGAAAATGATAAAATATTATATGATAATATGATTTTATCTCTAGACAAATAATGAATTTGAATACATTTTTAATTACAAAATAGTTATTCAGTATTCATTTTACAAATATTTTATATTTTTAATTTTATTTTCTATTTCAATATTACTGATATAAGTAATTGATGCAAGCCTGAGATAACTATTTCTATTAGATTTATGAGAAAATTTTCTTTTATGATGATTAAAAGCAAGACCTTCAATGTTTTCCTCAAAAAAGCACCGCTACTGATTGTGCGATAAAAAATATAATTATTAAAGCTCAAAAATAGTAATTGAATAATTGCTTTTATTCACAGAAAATAACAACTTTTGAAGAAAAATGTTTTAAAAATAAACAGTATTTCTGCCATTTTTTTAAACGAGAATAATAGAATTTTCTAATCACATTATTTAAGGAAATATAATTCCAATTTACATTTCTTTTCTGGTAGTGTGGAGAACGAGAGGAGCTTGCTATAGCTGATAGAGTGAGTGCTGCTGCCGCCGCAATCACCACTAATCCCAAGTTCACGGCGGCGCTAGCGGCTGCCAATTCGTCGGTTAACGGCGCTGCCCACGAAAACGGAGGTCAACCACGCGGAACTGAAGATACCCAGAGCAACTAGCTTAGACAGTTTTTATTATGTTTTTTTTTCTTCTTAATTTGAAGTTGTTACTTATTATTGATTTATTTTGTGGTTCGGTTGCAATAAAGCGTAGGAGCCGCACTTGGAAGGAATTTCTTTAGGAGACAGGACAAAACATTTCATTTTTGGATTTGAGAAATTGTATTGTCAAATGACTAGTTCTTGGGAATAATTAATAAATCAAAAGTAAGAAAATTTCTTCAGCTCCAATGATAAGAGCCAACCATTTCTTTATAAAGCATCGAAAATTAGTAGAATTTTTTTGTTATGCACAAACCCCCCTTAAGAGATCAACATTTGAAGACTCGAGGTGAGTTCCTATATGTTCAATTAGATCTTAGGACAATACACACACACACTCAAATCCATCAAATTCCCCACAAACCCTAAAACCCTAAAATCACACACACTGGACCTACTTTCTTAACTCTTTGGGAAACTCAATTTGGTGGTCCTAAGCCTAGTCTTTGGTTCACATGGTTAAGACCAACTTATGGATATTCGTAAAAGAGTTGTCATTTGGTGTCTTATGGTCCCAAGATGGCTATTCATGACAGGCAAGATCACCTTATCCAATTTTGCTCAAATTGCTCAATTTCCCTAAATTTTCCAAATGTCCCCCAGATTCTCCAAAATACCTAATTTAACCCCAAATTCAAGCTTTCCAAACTCCAATACCAAATTCAAATTCAATTTCACCAAACACCAATTTAAAACCCAAATTTCAATTCCAAACCCAAAGCCCCCAATTTCGAGTCAAATGTCCAAATCCATACCAAAATGCTAGCAATTTCAAAAATTCACCAGATTTGGCCTACACACCAATTCAAATTGCTAAACTAAAATCAACTTTTGCATGACAATTCCAATTCCATTCAAGCTTATTGGCAAAACCTAAAATCAATTTTCGTTAACCCATCCTAAAAGCCCAAAAAATAAATTCCTTCTTGACAAAATTCGAAAGCTCATAAATTGAGCCCAATTTCAATTACCATTGAATCTCACATGACAAATTCACCTAATCCGAAGGGTAAGCTTTTGTTTTACATGTCCTCGTCCTTATTTCTAGCTATGGGTATTTAGTAAACTACATTAAGTTTCTAGAATAGACTATTCCAATATGTGTGTGGAGCTAGGTTTTCGTGTATGTTGATTATCATGGAGTTCATTGGTTAGAGCTATCTTAGGGAATGGTTGTCCAAAATAAGAGTTGGCTGCTTTAAATTATTTTAGGTTCAACATATAAGTAGTGAATTGTTTGATTTCTACGTTCGTTGGTTATGATGACAAGTCAAAATTCTTTTGAAGTTTTAAGTTTTAGTTTTTCTAGTGTATCTGTTGGTGTCAAAGAATTACAATTCTTCTATTATCTAAATTTAAGCTTCCATCCAAGATATTATTTTCCTTATTCAAAGGGTTTTAAGTTTGTAGAGTCTATAACATTATATTCATAATAAGTAAAATTAAATATTCTAATTCTAGATCCTTCATATTTGAGAATCATTTAAATTTTCACTATAAATTTTTTTTTTTTCATACCAAAAAGATTTTTTAAAAAGGGTAATTTGTCATAGAAAAAGATGTGAGTGATATGAGCTTTCTTCAATATGATTTATCTTGTTTTAAAATGGTCCAAGACTTATAAATTCATAGGCTAGCAGAGGGACACCACAGACCTGGGGGATTGACTTCTATCTAAATGGGCAGGCGTGACATTCACAATACAATATACCATCATAAAGGATGAAAAAATCACCTTTGAAATGGGCCTAATCATTCAAATGAGAAAAATATCATTGACTCGTGGGTCTATAAAACTAGAGATTTTTCCTTTATGTTACTAAGGGTAAGGCTTTATTTTCATCCTCATGTCTGGCGTTTCCTAGGAAGATCCCTCATATTTAATTACTTCTCAAATGTTGTGACTACTGAGAAAAATCTCAATTCCAAAAATGGCTTATATCATGCCAAATCATCGGTGAAAGTCTATACGGTCTACGAAGATAAATGAATCAAATTCAGAAGGGTCAAGGATGAAAGTGAGAAAAAAGTGAGCTGGAACTTGGATCAACTTGAAAAACTTACATTAAGGTAGTAGAGTTTTGGCCAAACTGTTTGATCTTTGAAATAGGAGCTTCAAATTGGGTTTGGAGCTTGTGTTCGAAATTGAGACTTCGAAATTGTTGTGAAATTGGATATGGATTGATATAATAGTGAGTCAAGTTTTAAATATAACCCTAGGCTATATAGAATATAGGCTGGAGAAATTTCTAGATAGAAGTAAAACCTTAATCCTTTCTTTTAAAGACGCTAATGGGTGGACCAACTTAGATTTTGGGAATAATGTACCGAATCATGATGTCTATGACTTTCCATCATTATAGGAGCATTGGTACCCTAAAATTTTTAGCCATTTATGTAATCAGAGTTATTCCTTGTTGCCATAGTAATGGCTAAGGCTAATCATCCCCTAATACTTTAGTTTGGGGTGCCTTCATTGGTAAACATGGATTACTTCATCCTTGGGCACCCAAACAATTTGAGGGGGTAGATTTAATTATTGTATATGTTGTAGTCCTTATAGGCTATTTATTGAGTACCTAAATCTACCACAAGATTATGTACTTGACTAGTTTAGGGTGTGTTTGGTCCTATCTTTTTGTCTACGTTGGCTATTCTAGGATTATAGTTCGGAGCTATCCTAGTTATGAAAAATTAAAGTTGATCATTTTTAGTTTTGTTATGGATTTGATAATTATCAAGTGATTTGTTCTTCTAAGATTGTTAGTTATGGTGAAAATCAAGGTTGTCTAAGTTTTGTTTATTTTTTTTCCATTCAAAGTAAGATTCTGGTCAAATTATCAGCACAATGCTTTTGTTCTCATCTCTAGGTTTTATTTTCTCCCCAAAGTTTGAATGTGGTAGAGATAGCATATTCTAATGAATATAATTTAATCTCTTAATTTAAAGCTTTCTATTTAAGGTTTTTTTTATTCTCATTTAAGATAATAAAAATGTAGTTTTCATGTGAAAGAAAATTTTTTTCAAAAATAGTTTTATCATTCAAAAATATATGATTTACAAGCCCATTTATATGATTTTTTTTTTGAATAAGATGATCAATGACTTGTATATCCAAAGGACTAAAGATACTAAATCATATGTTTATGGGGAGAAGCATATTCATTTATCTAGTCAGTTATTCTAGTGAATATAGAAGTCTTAGGCTAAGAAAATGGCAAAGAGCCTGACAAGCTTATAAATTCTCATTTTGTTATTCCTAAGCTTAAGCTGAATGCTTTAGAATATATTTTTTAGGAAGAAATTCTTCTAAATTTAAAGGATGTTTTGAAATGGTTTTGAAGGAGTTTTAAATGAAAAGATAATTTAAGTTTAAGTTTTGAAGAAAAGGTTTAAAACTAAGTTCAATTAAGAAGTTTTCTTTTGAATGGTTTTAAAATGTCCTTTGAATTTCCGAAAAGGATTTTATTTTGGCTTTGATATGCTTTGAAAAAGTATTTTCTTCTGAAAGAGATTTTTTTTGAAAGATATTCTTGAAATGGTTTCAGGCTTAGTAGTTTCTTTTAGTTTTGCACCGATCACTTTTGAGGTAGAAGTTTGAAAAGATTTATTTTATTATTTTTTTTTTGAAAGAAAGCTTTTAATAATTATTTTAAAAGGATTAACTTTAAAAAGAAACATCTTTGTTGCATGAAGATCAACTATTAACATGTGATTAAGGCTTTTTTTGAAAAAAAATAATTAGTTAATTTTTTCTCTTGTAAATATTTTAAGGCTAAAAAAAGTGAATTAAGAAGAAAAGGAATTTTTAAAAGGTGTGTAAATATTTATAAATCCTAGAGAAAGTTTCCTTTAATTTGGCTTGAGCATTTCTACATTAAAATTTTATAAGATTTGAGCTCTTTTAATTGGAAAAGAAAATCTTCTTATGTGGGTACAATTTTTTTTTTTAAATTTGAATCTTTATAACACATTCAATATCTATAGAAAAGAGTCATAATTGTAAGATTTTTTATACTTTTTTTTCTTAAAGTTTCCTTTTAGAGTAGATATGATTCATTTAAAGTTTTGTTAAACCTCTCCTCTTAGCTTTTAGAAAATTTCACATTCCTTTTGATATCCATGTCGACCACATCAGGCCTTTTTAGTTCCCCTAAGATTATTTCTAGCTAAAACACATAAACTCCCAACATGCTTTTAAAAATAAAAAGGACATGACATTTGTCACTTTTCATTATGTCTTTTCATTTTACATGTACATATACCACTACATAATAATGTGCTAAAACTAACAGAATAACTAACGACCTTAGCACATGTCAGAAAAAAAGCTCTTTTTTCGACGACATAGAGACTGTTTATGATCTGGGTTATTTGCCGGTATAACTACATACCATGCCATTGCTTAAAAATAATAGTTTTTTTCTCATGGTTTTTAATAGTATTAAATCATTGGTTATAAATAAATCATTAATCAACTGTCATACTCGGTCAGTTATTTACGAACATTATTTAGTAAGGTTTTAACTAATGAGTTGTTTTAATAAGCAATGATATTTTTTGTTGTTAATAATGTTAATTACCCATTGCTTTTAAGTCATTTATAATACGTTGGTAAATGTCATAATTATACATGCCCTCCTGAATCCCTCATTTCCTACTCTTCTTCCTCCCATCGCGCTCATATTCGCCCTTCTTCACTCTGCCTAAAAACCTCGACCTCACCCTTGTTGTAGCCTCTTTGGGTTTTGTCCAACATAATCATCTCCTTTGCAAACAAACCCTACAATGAGATCACAACGTTTGGAGACCCAAAACTCCCATGTTTTCCCTCCTTTCGCTCACCTCCCACCCACAACCATTGACTAAGGTAACTTCACATCTTCTTTGCAATGCAATTTTATGCCTGGGTAGAGTTTGGTAGAGTACTTAGCTTTTCCTAAAGAAAATATTTAAGA